AATTTTGGTTTTTCCTGTTGATTTTGACGTTTTCGGCTTTCCATCCATTTCGACATCGAAGTTTTACGTCTTCTGGTCGGAGCACCAATTCGGGTCCGATTTTTACGATTTAGCTATCTATCGAAAGCTCTCGAAAAGGCGAGAAAACCAGAGGGCTTCGTTTTTAAGATTTAATCTCTATAATTATCTAATCGATACTTAAGGTTTTTGTAAAAAACCGGCAATTTTTCAACAGGAATTTCGCAATCAGCATTCTGACCTTGCATAAATCTGCAGTTTTCATGGTTTTTAGACGTAAAATTAGCAAATAAAAATACATAATCGAGAAAATGAACCCACACACTCCCATAAAACGTGTGACTCGACTCTAGTAATTACACAGAAAAAATATTTGGAAAAAGGAATTTTGTCTGAGTGGTAGACTGAAATCCAGCCGAACAGCTGATGTGATGATAGACATCGACCTATACCTTTAAAATATTTTCCGCACCCTTCTTGACTGTTGCGCTCCCCCACCCTATAATTGTTTGAACACAACCCCCAGGAAATTCCCAATTTAGAGTCAACCCATGGGTGGAGGGGTGGAGGGATGGGGTAATAGAAAGAGACGAAATGGTAAGAGATCTCACTTTTGGTTGGTAAGACACGGTCACATGACATGGCCGGGGCAAAAGGGGGCGAACGAGCGTCCGAGCGTTTAGGGGTATTGTTCGAGAGAGAAACTTATCAACTGAGGGTTGGCAAGGGGTTACGGGGGATGGATAAGCGGAAATGGAGAGAATTTGAGAATATGAAGGGGTGGGAAGAACTAAAGGAAAGGCTAAGGCAAGGCGACCGGGACCGAGGTGGCTGGCACTTGCCACGCATCTTCTTCATTTGCCTCTGCCCGTCTGAAAAGGGGGAACTGTGTGTGTGTGTGGGTTTCCCCCCTTTTGCCCGTCCCGATTCTCTTTTAGGGAAAAGTGGAATGGAAGGGAAGGGTTTGGCTTCTATAGTACGAGACAGTCCGCTCCCGTGACTATTGTCTGCCGTCCGTTTCATTTCTGACAAATGACCCTTGGGGGGCTTGCTTTCGGTTGCTAAAACTATCCCAAAGGGGGATAGAATCTAGAAATTTTGTGTAAATAAGAATTGCAAATTATAGTTTTGATTAGGGATATTTTAAAGGAACTGAGAAGGTAGATTTCGGCTATAGACTGTAGAGCTACGGTAGATTTTACAGTAGGTTTGGCTCCACTTTCCTTCTGCCGCCTTTTTCATTTTTTTACCTATAAAGTTTCATAAGATTTTTTGAAGATTAGCATTTTAAGCCAAAATTACAATTTTTCTGTGAATTTTGACGTAAAACTGAAAAAAAAATACGTTGACATTTTTGTTAAAATATTTTCGATTTCTGAATTTACCAACACTTAGAATGTCCTTACCTTAAATAACATCTTTTTGTAGTTTCCACTCGATAGAGATTATAACATCATTTTTGGTACGCGCCGAATCCTACCTTCAATCAAAATTTTCACCCTTTCTGGCAACCCTCCAACATTCTCCCACCCACCCTTCCCAATCCCTTTAAACGTGATAGCCTAGCGATAGCGACAGTGCTTCCTCCTCTCCCCTCGATACCGTTAACCTCCTCGCTGACCTTGGGGGTGCCCCTCCGAATTCTCGGCAATTACACTTGACAACTAGCGACACCTTTCCCTGTCGCGCGGATGGTGGCAATGCCCTCTGGGGGGAGGGAAGGAGTCTAGCTTTGGGCTTGGTTGATTGGGACGGGGAGGTGGGTGGTTAGGTTCAGAAATCGTTTTTTGGCTGACCCTTTATGGCTAGAAAATTTAATTCGTTGGCCTTTTTGTGGCTACGAATTCAGCTAGACGCAACGCATACGCGACGCGTGCGTCCGTTAATTTTTGCTTCCAAAATTCCCAGTAGACCCTGCTAGCCTCATCTTTAAATCGAGATTTGTAAATTTAGGGTTTGTAATGCGAGTTTTTTTTGCTATTTTGTGTTGAGGTTGTGCTGGTTTTTAAACCGCGGATTCTGCCGCGCCGCGACACGCAACGCGCGCTCCCACTTTTCTATTGCGCAATGGATTATCCCCTTCCCCTTCACGTTGCGTGTTGCGTGTTTTGCAATATCTCTAAAGAATCCATAGTCTTCAAGAACCGCTTCCTGGTCCCTTTAAAGGCTGAAAATAAATTTTTGTTTTTATGGATTTCGCGTGGGTTTTCTATACCTACTTTAGTCAAGCGGCCCGCGCGTTGCGTGTCGCGGGTGCGGATTTATCTAGAATCCATAGCTAGCCCTGGACTGCCCCTTTAAAACATCGCAATTTGCTTGTTATGTTACAGTGAAAAACTATTTGTTTGCTATGGATCCCCGCTAGGTTGCCGATTAGCGAAACACCAGGGTTGAAAAACCGCTTCGCGGCTTTTCAACCCTGGCCCCGTCTAGGACCGATGAAAGTCTTCAATTTGCATGCTTCTTCCCCGAAATCTATCAGGAAAAAAGTGAAAAACGGCTCCTCTGTCGCTTTATATAGGCTATCCCACTTCCGGCTTATGCTAATTGATCCCTAACAAAGAGGGTGTGCGAGAATTTTACAAAAATTTGTTTTTAATAGCGAAAATAGCAATTTTTCAAAGATTTTATTTGCGTGCAGTCGATTCCGGACCCTTCTTTACCTAATGACGTTTCTGCCCAATCGAAAAAATTCTTCCCTGAGGCTGTAGGTGCGGAACATCCTCACGGAAGTTGCATGCAAATGCACACACACACACAGACACTATTTTTTTATTAGCGAAACAATAGGCACATGCCACCCCATTTCATCACGTAACAAATCCTGACTATTTCACGCGCGTTGCGTCCCCGGGTTCCGGCATTATCCATTATTCTAAGCCTATGTCTAAGCCTAAGCCTAAGCCTAAGCCTAAGCCTAGCCTAAGCCTAAGCCCCCCGCTTCCTCCCCCGATACTATCGACCCTACTTTCACATTTGATCGGAAAAAGCAGTGGTTGGGCGGAATGTTCTTGGCCTGCCACACACAGTCCGTTATCGACTGCCATTCCGAGGGGCTATAGGGGAGCGGTGTGGAAGTGGGGTGTAGGGGGAGAGGAGGGGCTTCCAAGCTCTGTGCCTGGGCCTATACAAACAGTTCCCTAAATTGGGGCGTCTGCCTGGCCGGGCTTTGTGCACCGCGTGTCCGATCGCTTATGAATCGGGCTGGCTCACCTAAACGCGGTGGGGGGGCTGCTCGCTGTCCGTACCGTTCGTAGCAATCGATTCGAAACTTTTGTACAAGGGGATTTGGGTAAATTTTTAATACCGCTCTTCTTGAAAATACCTTGAATTGTGGATGTTTAAATTAATCGAAATTTTTCGTAGTTTGAACTTTGTCATCGTTTTTAACCTGTCACTGTCCCTTTAAATTTTCGCAATGGCTTTAAATATCCTGAAATTTTTTAAATTTGCAATTCATGACGGTAGAAAAATCGAAAATCGATTGGTATTTTTCACTTTTTAATGCATTTTTAACCATGTTACTACCTTTTTAAAATTCGAAGATATCATTAAATATTCCTGGTTTTTGTACTTTAATACCCTGAATCACGGCTTAAAGAATATTAAATAGATTAAAAAAAACTTATAATTTCAAGATTTATATTAATTAGCCTGTCACTATCCGTTTAAACCCAAGACTTTTACAATGGCTTTGAATATACCACTTTTCTGACTTTACAAACCCTTTAATTCCCGGGTGACGAATCTAAAACACCTCGGAAGATTTCGTACTTATAACTTTTTTCTGGGGTGTACTTCTCTATCTGTCGCTATCCCTTTAAAATCACTACCACACCACCCTTCTCCCTACTTCACAATACCCACCCCCTAATCCCCCTAATCCCTTCCCCTCCCTACCTATGGCCAATCCCACAGCCCTATAAGGCAACCACCCACCCCCCGATCGCACCGCCGGGGCCTGTATGCAATCGATGGTCGGCTTGTTCGTGTATGGGCTCGTTCTCTATATGCCCTTCCTGCCCTTCTCCTCCCCCCTTCACCGGCCCTTCCTTTTTGCCATTTACCACTAACGGCACCAGCAACACCGTGCGCCCCTTCACCCCCTTCCCTCTGCCACGCCACCGCATCGATCATCGAGCGGCGTGGCCGTGGGCTTACATCCACAGGTCCGCCGATAGTTATTTCGGTACCAAGTTGGATCGGCAATGATTTTTACGATTTTCTTTGGAAATGCTGATTTTAATGACATCATCTTCCCATTCTCTCTCCCCCTCTCTCTGTCTCCCTCTCTCTCTCCCTCTCGCTCCCTCATGATCTGCCTCATTCACTCTCTCACACTCTCTCGCTTTGCCCTATACGCTCTCTCTCTCCCTCTCTCTCTCTGTCTCTCTTGCTGTCTATCTCTCAGTCTCTCTCGCTCTCTAACTCTCTCTCTCTCTCTCTCTCTTTGCTCTCTACCACTCTCTCACTCTCTTTCTCTCTCTGTCTCTCTCACTTACTCTCTCGCTCTCTCCCTACCTGTCTCTCTATCACTCTCGCTCTTTCTCCCGCTACCTAGTTTTTCAAAAAAAAATAAGGAGCCCGTAGCAACATTTAACTTTTTTTAAGAAAAGATCAGGCCTCATCGTTCACATCTACCTCCACCGCCCCAACCCAAGCACTAATGATCTTTCCGATCCTTTTGTCCCACTCCCCTCAACCTAAAGTTCACTCCTCCTCCCCCCTCACCGTCCCACCCCTATTGCCGTCGACATTTAACGATTGATTTGACCCTTTCTCAACCCACACAAAAAATACCCAAACGAACCGCATCCACTCGCTAATGGGCCTTTTAGACCGTTGGAAATGTGTTTTTTCGCGTTAGGGAGAAGCTGGGGGCATTGAAAGCCGCGATTTCCTCTTAAACCCTTCTGTTTCTCTATTTCCCCTCTCTTTTCAAAATATTAAAGTTTTTGATCGATATTATAAACCATTTCCAGATGGACAGGGTTAAATTTGCCGTAGTGCGGGTACCAGAGGCGAAGGTCATCGAATTCTTCGCCACCATTGTAAGCCCAAGGTCTATGCTACTTAATCTGTGCCCTAGGCATCGAAAGGCTTCACCGACGTTGCCTTTGTCAATAGCCTACAACAAGCCGCATTCACCAGCCTTGCAGATGAGGTCTGTCTTGAAAATCGGGGAGTAGAAAAGAATTAGTCGGATTTTCAGCCGCCGGTTGGCTCGCCAAGCAGTCATAATTCAAGTGCGGATAATGGGATGCCAATGTTAAATGTGAGTATAATTATTTGGGGTTTTCCTCGAATTTTTCTTTTTATCGCTCTCCTTCCCTTTCTCTCACTCGCTCTCTCTGTCTCTCTCTCGCTCTCTCTCTCTCGCTCTCTCTTCCTCTCTATTTCTCGTCCCGATTTCGGTAAACTGTCACAAGCTCTTTAAGAATATTCAAGCGGATGTCCAGCTTGATCCTACTCCTGCTCTCTCTCTTGCTCTCTCTGCTCTCGCTCTCTTCCACTCGCTCTCTCTCTCGCTCTCCCCTCCCTCGCTACTCTATCTCCTCAGCCATTAGAACCAATTCTAACCGATTTTCAGTTTTTACAGACGCCACCCTCACCTCCCCCTGCGGCCACAGTATCAACAAACCAAACGATGCCCCTCAATCTATCGGATTTATTCCCAGCGGTATGCTAATTCCGCCCTTCCATCTAATCTTTTGGTATTCTAGGTGTTAGCCCAAGCGAATGCCCTTCGAGACGCTTCCCCACTTGGCGAGTTGTCATTAATCCCCGGTAGTGACGGCGATGATAATACAGGACGGGTACGGTTCTATCTACTAAAAATTCTTAAATTTGTAATTTATCCTACTATATATAAAAAAATAGTGTCTGTGTGTGTGCATTTGCATGCCACTTCCGTGAGGTTGTCTCTCACCTACAGCCTCAGGGGAAGGTTTTTTGGGTACGTATGATACGTCATTAGGTTCGTAATGGTGCCGAGATGAGTGCACACATATCAAAGTTTTAAAAAATTACGGTTTTCACAATTAAAATCGGGTTTTTGTAAAGATATCGGAAAATCTCTTTGTTAGGAGCCAATTTGCATGCACCGGAAGTGGGGAAAGCTTATATAAGGGGGTAGAGGGGTCTTTTTCATTTTTTTGCAATCAAGGTTCGGGAAGAAATATGTGGGCGTTAGACGGGGCCGGGGTTGAAAAGTCGCGAAGCGGTTTTTCAACCCTGGTGATTCTTTAATTATACGATTTAGCCTTACCATCAGCGAATGAAGGGGTGGCAACGGACATATTTGAGTGAGATGCTGAAAGATGGGTATCCGACGGATGAGAAGTTGAATGAGGCTATGCATAAGTGTGATTTGTCGAGACGGCAGGTGAGTAGAGAGAGAGAGAGAGAGAGAGAGAGAGAGAGAGAGAGAGAGAGAGAAAGAGCGAGAGAGAGCGCGCGCGTGTGACCGAGAGCGAGTGGGAGAGAGAGAGCGGGAGAGAGGCAAAGAGAGAGAGAGTGAGAGAGGGGGAGAGCGGCAGAGCCTGAGAAACCAAGAGCGAGCGGGAGAGAGAGCCAGAGAGAGGTAGAGAGAGAGAGAGCGAGAGACAGAGAAACGGAGAGAATTGATGCTTTTTTACAAATTTTACATCTCAATTCCAGATCCTCCGATTTATCAGCAAACGTGTCAACAACCCCCAACAAAGGCTTGAGAGCTGATTGGCGAGCTGCCAAGCCCACGACGTCGAGAAAATGATCGGCAACGACGAGGAGCCGAAGAGCATCAAAGCCGAACCCGAACAAATCGAGTTCCCCGACTTCACTGAGGCCTAGGCTATCATTAATGCGTTTTTGGGTCGATAGCCCTATGTTGCACTCCAAAGAGCGGCCCCATGGGTACGGTTCCGGGCCAAAACTATTATTTGTAAACTGTGGGTTGTTCAAATTTTGTTTGTTTTTCGCTAGTTTGATTCTAAAGGGATTGTGAAGTCTATATATACGCCTCGTAATTAAATTTTCAGTTTTGTGATGGCTTCCAGGTTCCTTTAAGTTTTACTGTCATTTTGAAGGCTATATAAGCTGTCCAAGACGGCCGAATTTCTTTAAAAATCTATTTCATTTGCATTCTCTTCCTACGCATTCCATTTTGCCTCCAACCTCTCACATACCGTAACCAACATTCCTGCCTAGCCCCAATCTAGCCATCATTACCATCTTCTTTCCCCTTCCTACTATTCTCAATTATTCTTTCGGTGTGCCACCCCCAATTTCCTAGTCATTTTAGCTCTTGACTAGAAATCATATAAATATTTATCCCCTTCTACCTTATATTTTATCTATCAGGTTCCCACCGCGGCATCTACAGCACAAAATACCGTAATTTGTCCAAGCCCGTCGTGGCCCACGCCGAAATGTGATTCATTCTCGATGCTCCGAGTGCCCCCCTTCGAATTGATTTGAAATTCTATATTTGCCTACATATCTGTGAAGAATATATATATCGTTGCCCCCCTACCGCCGGATTCAATTTATCGGGATTTGAAAATAAAGTGATGTATTTTTGACATTTATACACTTCAAATCGATATGAGTCCTAGAAATCCGCTTAACTTTAATGAAACTCACTAAACAACTATACTCATACCAGATGGTTCCAGTCGCTTCGCGACTGTAACCATCTGGCCTTCGGGTTACCCTTGATGTAATACACCTAACTATCCACCTACTTCTACTAACTACCTAAATACCTTCCCGAAGGCTTTAGATACGCCCCCTAGCTGAAATCCCTTTCAAAAACTACCTAAATACCTTCCTGATGGCTTCAGATACCTCCCCTAGCTGAAATCCCCTTCAAAAACTACCTAAATACCTTCCTGATGGCTTCAGATACCCCCCATGGCTGAAATCCCCTTCAAAAACTACCTAAATACCTTCCCGATGGCTTAAGATACCTCCCCTAGCTGAAATCCCTTCAAAAACTACCTAAATACCTTCCCGATGGCTTAAGATACCTCCCCTAGCTGAAATCCCCTTCAAAAACTACCTAAATACCTTCCCGATGGCTTAAGATACCTCCCCTAGCTGAAATCCCCTTCAAAAACTACCTAAATACCTTCCCGATGGCTTAAGATACCTCCCTAGCTGAAATCCCTTCAAAAACTACCTAAATACCTTCCCGATGGCTTGAGATACCTCCCCTAGCTGAAATCCCCTTCAAAAACTACCTAAATACCTTCCCGATGGCTTAAGATACCTCCCCTAGCTGAAATCCCCTTCAAAAACTACCTAAATACCTTCCCGATGGCTTGAGATACCTCCCCTAGCTGAAATCCCCTTCAAAAACTACCTAAATACCTTCCCGATGGCTTGAGATACATCCCCTAGCTGAAATCCCCTTCAAAAACTACCTAAATACCTTCCCGATGGCTTAAGATACCTCCCCTAGCTGAAATCCCCTTCAAAAACTACCTAAATACCTTCCCGATGGCTTAAGATACCTCCCTAGCTGAAATCCCTTCAAAAAACTACCTAAATACCTTCCCGATGGCTTAAGATACCTCCCTAGCTGAAATCCTTCAAAAACTACCTAAATACCTTCCCGATGGCTTGAGATACCTCCCCCTAGCTGAAATCCCTTCAAAAACTACCTAAATACCTTCCCGATGGCTTAAGATACCTCCCCTAGCTGAAATCCCTTCAAAAACTACCTAAATACCTTCCCGATGGCTTGAGATACCTCCCCTAGCTGAAATCCCCTTCAAAAACTACCTAAATACCTTCCCGATGGCTTGAGATACATCCCCTAGCTGAAATCCCCTTCAAAAACTACCTAAATACCTTCCCGATGGCTTAAGATACCCCCCCTAGCTGAAATCCCCTTCAAAAACTACCTAAATACCTTCCCGATGGCTTGAGATACCTCCCCTAGCTGAAATCCCCTTCAAAAACTACCTAAATACCTTCCCGATGGCTTGAGATACATCCCCAGCTGAAATCCCTTCAAAAACTACCTAAATACCTTCCCGATGGCTTGAGATACCTCCCCTAGCTGAAATCCCCTTCAAAAACTACCTAAATACCTTCCCGATGGCTTAAGATACCTCCCCTAGCTGAAATCCCCTTCAAAAACTACCTAAATACCTTCCCGATGGCTTGAGATACCTCCCTAGCTGAAATCCCTTCAAAAACTACCTAAATACCTTCCCGATGGCTTGAGATACCTCCCCTAGCTGAAATCCCCTTCAAAAACTACCTAAATACCTTCCCGATGGCTTGAGATACCTCCCCTTGCTGAAATCCCCTTCAAAAACTACCTAAATACCTTCCCGATGGCTTGAGATACCTCCCCTAGCTGAAATCCCCTTCAAAAACGACCTAAATACCTTCCCGATGGCTTGAGATACCTCCCCTAGCTGAAATCCCCTTCAAAAACTACCTAAATACCTTCCCGATGGCTTGAGATACCTCCCCTAGCCGAAATCCCCTTCAAAAACTACCTAAATACCTTCCCGATGGCTTAAGATACCTCCCCTAGCTGAAATCCCTTCAAAACTACCTAAATACCTTCCCGATGGCTACAGATACCTCCCTAGCCGAAATCCCCTTAAAAAACGAAAATAACGACCGACCGGATGGAATGAGAGCAAAAAAGAAATGAAATCCCCCGTGAAAATTTTCATCCACGAAACGCGCGCGACCTGGCTCACTATGTCCAAAATCAGCCCAACCTCCGTCCCCCACCCCTTTTACTAAGGAAAAAACTTTCAAAGTTAATTTTAATAATTTAAACTAAAACTTTTTCATAATTTTTTTATCAGTTTGGGGGTTTCTGACGGCGCTCTATCCGAATCCGAAGAGAGCTAAGCTCTAGCTCTTTTCCCCTTCGAGTTGAATTCGGCTTCACACAGACGGACAGACGGACGCGTCAAGAAAATTATTATAGTTGATTTTAATGCAAGTAAATTCATCACAATTATTTTAAAAATATTAAAAATAAATTCCTTAGTTAAACCTTAATAAATATTGATATCATGGAAATTCGACTCAAATAATTTAAACAAAATTACCATAAAGATCAGAAAACCGATTTTATTTAGCTTCTTAATTGACCCCAATTTCTGATTTGACGAATTCCAAATACTTTATTCTTTAAATTTATTAAAACTATACAAAACCCGTGATTTCCGGCCCACACCGGCCTCCCAGCACGTATTTAGCACGATACAGTACATTACAGTACGGCATGGCACAGTACTGTACTATGACCGCCGCCACAGAATAAATAGCAACACCAGAATAATAGAAATCAAAAACAAGGGCTGCGTGGCGGGATTACAGTAATCGTGCGACTGACAGATGCAGGTGATGGTGAGACCTTGGGTGCGACAGCCGTCTTGCTCGATTCCACCGTATTCCCTAGAAATTTTAAATTTGAAATGATTGGTAAGGGGTATATATCGACGCATTAAAGATATTCCGATTTTTTATGATACCTTAAAGGGTTTTTAAGGCTATTCTCGACGCATTAATCATACAAAACATTTTAAGGGTCTGCGAAGGCTACTATTGACGCGTTAATAATATAATAATAATTTCAAGGTGAAATTAAAAAGGAATTAAGAATTAAAATAATGTTAATGACTTGTGAAGCCTATATCTCGCCACACTAACCTCGTATCAAACGGTAAACATGTCAGCGCCAAAACACCATTACTCTCCGGATCCAACGTCGTTACCCGTGTACACGCAACACCTAAATACGGCTTAAATCTTGGGTCTTACCCGTGCTAAAGACTTTTAGGGGCACACTACCTATACATTCATTACA